GTCACTGAGATTAAATATTTGTTGGGGAAAACCCCATTTTTACAGCTCTAGAACTTCTGTGATGCAGGCAAATAGAGCACATAAAAGAAGAAAAAAATAAATATCTTTCAGATGCAAAAATGGTGTAGCTGTGGCCGTCCTAGTCATGGGAGCAAGACTTCAGGAAGGCTCCTCATATCACCTGTTGAACCTATTGCACCATCTCCCCAAAGGCAGTTTAAGGTTGTTTTCTTTCTCTTCTCCTTCACTATAGCTCCAATAGGTCAAGCAAGGTTAAAATCCCACTCAATAAACTTTGAAACCAGCAATTTCTTTACTAGGAAACCAATACAGTTAAAATAGATAATTTAATAACTATTACAATAAAAGTCTATTAAAATAACAATGCGAGTTACATTATTAGGCTGCCCAGCATAGGTACCTTGAATAGTCCATGATAAGAATAATAAAAGAGCTTCCCATCTTTTTCTCTTGGCTCTTCTCTCCCTCTCCAAGCTTTTTTTTTTTTTTTTTCCTCTTTCTTTGGTGAGACTGGGTAGTTCTTTGCACAAATCATGAGCATTTAGGTCCTTGTGCTGTGAAAGTGGAAAGTTAGCTAGGATTTTTTTCACAAGAATTTTACAGTAGTATAAGAATATAACAAACCTTGAAAAGAATGTCTCCTTCTGATTTCAATAAGCCGTATTTGTGAGAAGCATAATAATGTCTTCATTTGCTGGAAAGATCTGTTCAAATATAAATGCCATAACGAGTTGTGAATTTGGTTATAAAGACAGAAAAGTCTGTTACGGTGGTGTCATGCCCTGATGATGTGGCTCAGCCTGTAGACACATTCATTACCTGCATCTGTGAGCAAATGATGGGACAGAAGGAAGTTATTAGGGGTTTTAACTTGACGCTTAGGACGGTGGGTGTCTCCTTGTGAATGTGTGTGTGTGTAAGGCAGTTAATTAATCCAGGGTAAAGCAGGTCCTTAGAAATGGGTGCTTTACAACTCTACTGTCTGTTGAGAATTTACAGAGCAAGGAGGATGCTGATCTGATCTAAAGACTGTTTTGCTGCAAATAGAGACCTACTAACCCACGTTGGAAGTGCTGAAGACGATGATTTTAAAGTGCAGCGTGGCATGGGAGTTTCACAAGCTGTATGGCCAAAGAGGTTTACAAATGCCAAGGATAGGTACTGGTCAATACTGGCACTTTTAAAATGCCAGCCTGTGCCTTCCCTCACAGAGAACAGTTACATTTGATTAGGGATCATCTGGGAGTGAGAGCGGGGAGGCAGCTTTGAGACAAGGAGAACTCTACAGATAGAAGCAGAGAGAACTGGGATGAAGTAATTATTGGTATTGCCGAAGACTCAAGGGGAGAGAGTCTTTCTGAACACAAGCCTGGGAGGTCTCCTGTGGCCCGAGGCTGACATTCTCGGGCTGGTGATGACATTTACTATCCGGGGTGAGTCTTAAGCTTTAAGAGCAAAACAGAATTGTAGCTTTTTGCCTTAATTTAGACCAAACTTCGGGACATATTAATATCAGCGACTGTTTAAACAGAGCAATAGACAACCGCACACCACTTTAACTAAACCCAGCATGCAAGCTAATTTTAAGGCAGCCCAGTTGGTGGAAGCCCATGCATTAATTTATTCTAATAGCAAGTGGGGGAGGTGGGGAGGGGAAAAAAGGTTGAAAGGCATTTTTTTTTTTTAAAGAACGAAAAACCCCAAAGAACTCATGCTCAATGTCTTTTTTTTTTTATTTGGTATTTAACACGTACAATTTGGTCAAATTATGGGCAGGATAGCAAGAGAAGCTAGTCAGTTTTAAAAGACCGAGAGTGTATGAGACAGGACATGATTACTTTCCTGAATCCCCACTTTTTTTTTTCTTCCAAAAGAGACAAAGGGAAATACTTAAGAACCAATAGTGACGGCAACAAAGCAATCACTGAGTTGCAGGATACCTTTGTCTCTAGGGGGCACGCAGTAATTTTTACATGTCTACCACTGAGTGTCAAACCTTTTCTTTTCTTCTTCTTTCCATTCTGGATGGCCAAACTGATTATCTAAAATAGAAAATTAGCACACAATGGGTTTACTCTGCGATACCCCTTATGCAACTAATGGCAAAGCTTGTTAATTGGTTGTAAATGCCAGCAGGTTGCCAGGATAATACTTCAGAAATAAGCGGGTATTCTGATAATTACAGCAATCTTCATCTATAAAAGCTTAAGTAGATGAAGTAGTGGCTGGCTTAAAACCAAGATTTATCCCGCTGCACTCACATTAAAAGAAAAAATAAGATGAAAACAATAATGTAACAAAACAATTATATAGCAGGAAGCTTTGTAGGTTTTAGAGATTGTGAAAACTCAGAAAGTAAAACAGTGCTGTAATAACCAGTTATGGAAAAATAGGCCATTTACATTTGTGTATAATTAAATAGTAGGCTATGCAATTTCACTTTTTAAAGTAAACTGCCTTTTCCTTTTTTTATAGGGCAACGTAGCCGTAATTGCTGCATTAAAGCTTTAATGAAAGAAAAAACAGCAGATCAAGATGACATGTAACATCTACATTTGTGCCGTGGCGCTGTGCTTGTTTAGTAATGGGAAGCTACTGAGGAGATTAAAATTGCAGAATTCTTCATAGTTTGTTCTAAAATTGCTATAGGAAGATCATTCGGGGTCTAAAATACACACAATTTATTTTTCCACCTTCAATCTTCAAGAATTTAATGGCTTTCGTAACTAGGAGGTGGTTGGAAATATGTTTTATATTAGAGAGAGAACTACTTTGGATCATAAAAATGATCAGAAGTAAGTGGATCAGAATTTAAGCCTTAGGGGCCTTCCTAGTGTATTAGAATATTGCCCAAATGTTATATCATAGTGTTTAACTTAGTGTGGTATAAGGAGCTTTCTTGTTCAAAATATCAACAGGTTGACTTGTAATATTGTTCCTTTATATTTCGCAGTTTCTTTATCACCCCGACTAACATCAGGAACTGGTGCAAAAGGTAGCCAGCTTATATTATGAGGTAACATTCTGGTAAACAGTTAACAGGCATGTGGGCTTTTGTTTTTAAAAACAGTCTCTCCTGTGAGCTACTTTCTCCTAAGAAATATTCCTCAGATGTTACATTCCACATAGGTTGGCCATGTTTTCTGTAAACCATCTCTGGCAAATAATGCAGGCAGAGATTGGAAACCTTCATTATGTGTTACAGTACTGAGAAGAGGGTATGAAAACATGCTAAAAACACATCACGCAAGAGAGTTAGGAGAAAAATACCAAGGACATTAGTGCCAATGGCTAGAGCAATAAAAAGTAGCCTTAAGAAAGTAAAAACAGGAAAAACCAAACATTTATATAAATTCTACGTGATTTTATTCTTCCTTTCGTAAAAAGAAAAACGCAAAAGCCATTTCTGGTAAAAGAAAAACCCGAGGAATGAACCCGAGGAAGGCCCAGAATTTTGGCTTTTTTCGGTTCTCACTTGAGGGAAGTGATGCAGTTGCTCCGGGGTTTTGTTTTGGTGTTTGTTTCTTGCAGGGTTGATGAAATGCATCTTCATCTACGTGCAGTTCTTCTGGTATGGAAAACTTGAAATACAGAGCCTTCTGGAGGGGCTGGCTTCCGCACACAAGTCAGAATGTGGTGTTGGCATGGCGGCCGGAAGCGCGCGGGAGCGGCGCTCGCCCAGCGTGGAGGCGCACCAGGCGGCGGGCGGGAAGCGCGGGACACGCGCGCCGCCACCTCACAGAGATGGGGCATCCGCAGCAACTGTGTTTCTTGGTTCAAGTACCACCTGAAGCGGGAGGAGGGGAAAAGGGGGAAAGGAACAAACAAATCATATTGAGTCTAGGAGGTGGTTGGAAATATGTTTTATATTAGAGAGAGAACTACTTTGGATCATAAAAATGATCAGAAGTAAGTGGATCAGAATTTAAGCCTTAGGGGCCTTCCTAGTGTATTAGAATATTGCCCAAATGTTATATCATAGTGTTTAACTTAGTGTGGTATAAGGAGCTTTCTTGTTCAAAATATCAACAGGTTGACTTGTAATATTGTTCCTTTATATTTCGCAGTTTCTTTATCACCCCCACTAACATCAGGAACTGGTGCAAAAGGTAGCCAGCTTATATTATGAGGTAACATTCTGGTAAACAGTTAACAGGCATGTGGGCTTTTGTTTTTAAAAACAGTCTCTCCTGTGAGCTACTTTCTCCTAAGAAATATTCCTCAGATGTTACATTCCACATAGGTTGGCCATGTTTTCTGTAAACCATCTCTGGCAAATAATGCAGGCAGAGATTGGAAACCTTCATTATGTGTTACAGTACTGAGAAGAGGGTATGAAAACATGCTAAAAACACATCACGCAAGAGAGTTAGGAGAAAAATACCAAGGACATTAGTGCCAATGGCTAGAGCAATAAAAAGTAGCCTTAAGAAAGTAAAAACAGGAAAAACCAAACATTTATATAAATTCTACGTGATTTTATTCTTCCTTTCGTAAAAAGAAAAACGCAAAAGCCATTTCTGGTAAAAGAAAAACCCGAGGAATGAACCCGAGGAAGGCCCAGAATTTTGGCTTTTTTCGGTTCTCACTTGAGGGAAGTGATGCAGTTGCTCCGGGGTTTTGTTTTGGTGTTTGTTTCTTGCAGGGTTGATGAAATGCATCTTCATCTACGTGCAGTTCTTCTGGTATGGAAAACTTGAAATACAGAGCCTTCTGGAGGGGCTGGCTTCCGCACACAAGTCAGAATGTGGTGTTGGCATGGCGGCCGGAAGCGCGCGGGAGCGGCGCTCGCCCAGCGTGGAGGCGCACCAGGCGGCGGGCGGGAAGCGCGGGACACGCGCGCCGCCACCTCACAGAGATGGGGCATCCGCAGCAACTGTGTTTCTTGGTTCAAGTACCACCTGAAGCGGGAGGAGGGGAAAAGGGGGAAAGGAACAAACAAATCATATTGAGGAACTAGGAAGGGATCCTGGCCTACCACTGAGTCTGGTAGTTCAAAGAAGTTCGTACCTTCGCCTTCTCTGCTGTTGGCTCCTCATTGCTCACAGAAGACGCGGCAGCAATGGCCTCGCGCCCTCCCAACAGTATTTCGTGTCTTTTGGAGGCTGGCAGTTGTGGAAGCATTTAGGATGGCTCCAAGAAGGCACTTGTTTTAGGCGGACTGATTTAAGATGTTCTTTCACCCACCTCTTTAGTGTGTTTTGAAGGAGCAGAGAAAATAGCAGGGGCAGGCTTTCTTTCCCAGGAGGTTGAAACCAGCAGAGTTTTGGGATCTGGGTAGGTAGGGGTTGAGAGGTAAGACTTTAGGGGAAGAGAAATAGAACAGAACAGACTTCAGAATAAGAAATGTGTGTGTGTGGCCGGGGGTGGGGGTGGGGAGGGCAGGCATCATCCAGTGTTGTGTTTTGTCAGAAAGCTTAGACACGACTGACTTTCCTTAAAATATACTGAAGAAAGCATCTCAAAATAAATCACCTACATTTAGGGAGAGAAAAACTTCCTCAAAAGTAGAAAAATATCGTAAAAAATCAAATAAAATTTATGGTCAAGGGCACAGGCAGTTCTGCCAATATAAGAACTTGTGGAAATTATTCATTTAGCATAGTTTTACCTTTTACTGAAAGAAGAAAGTTGTTTAAGTCTGTCTCATGCTTGAGTTAAATTATTCTTAATGATATAACATAGTTTTCCATACAGTAGTGAAGTATTCGTGGTAACTTTCCTGAAGGACAAATAAAAATTAAATTGAAGAATTCAGTGCTTGGTGGATTTGTCTTTCACGTATAGAAAGAATATTATCTTTTTCTCTGAAGCATGAATTCTATTTTGTTCTCAGTCACTCATCCTTGCACAACTGTACTGGTCCTTTGATATCTTTCAGAATGTTTCATTATTTGAGTAATATATATAATCAGATTGATGTACATTTTAGCCTCTTTATGCTACTAGCATTTTTGCCCCATCACATGCTTTAGAGAAGAACACACTCCACAGAGTAAACCTTTGAGAAATTTGTGAATTAATTATTTTTAAATGAAGAGTAGAACATTTTTGATATTTTTAAGGTATTATCGATGAAATTGATATTAAACTGATAAGAATTTAAAAATCAATATTTCCAAGTCAGTTTGAGGATTAAGTACTTAAAAAGCAAAGTTCTCTGACTAGAATTTTCTCTTAGCAGAGGAACATAGTTTCTGTATGTACAGAAAGTATAGCATGCCATCCTGATGGCACTCTTGCGGGAATCGTTGTGTTCGTCCTAACAGTGAACATTTTCTCTGTTTCTGTGTCAGTTGTCACTAATCAGTTATGCATCTGATGTGCAGATCCATCAGGGCAGAGAATTTAAGTCATTTTGGCTTTAACACATATGATATGCTTGTACAGGAGTTTACCAAAGCCCCTTTTGATACATTTTCAGAAGGGGACGTGCATATGTTATGGTACCTCTACAGCAGCAGTGACTGAACTAGCTGACAAGTGACAGGAGGGTTTTTTTCCCTCTTTGGTATTTCATGGAAGTGTGCACAAATCATAACAAGTTGCCTCACTTTCATAAGACAGGGAACATTTCCCTTAAAGCGCACATGGCTATATGGTGTGTTTGTGTACATGAAAATTCATGCTTCTATCAAGTTTAATTTTGCCATTTTTGTTGTTTTTTAAATTACAGGTTTGGGGTTTTTGAAGAGGCATAAATAATGGCTTTCCATTTCATTTTGACTGATTTTTGAAAAAACTATATCAAAGTCATAGTGGAAAAATAAGGTTCTTTACTATTGAGAGAAACTGTTGAAATACAGGTGACCCATATCTGCTGAGCTGGTTGTTGTTTTATGAATTTGTCAAGAAGCCTCAAAAAATAGTAAACACTTACTATATGCCAAGAAGTCCTATGTCAGATGATATGCAGCAGACCAGGGTTCACAATCATCTGTCTGAATTTGGACCCATGTTTTAAATCAGTATTAACAGCAACAACAACAGTAAATATAGGAGCCCTTATGCTGTTATTTCTTCCTTAGGCTCTGTGCTGTACAGGCTTATCCCCAACCATATGCAATTAAAGAAGGACAGTGAAGTGGAGAAAAAGTCATTTCAGTGTCAGCAAGAACAAGCCTTCAGCACTTAATGAGCTCTGGTTTTGCCTGGGCCTCGGAATCTTCTTCGCTAAAACAGGGAAACTATTGGGAGAGACCAATGCGCAAATCACTTACTGTATCACCTGAAGATGGATGCTTAATACATTTTGTTTCTTTGAGCTCCCTTTATCCTATGACCTCAGAACAGGAAGAGAGTCTGTATAGTTCTTTCTAGGTAAACTCAGATCTAGCTGCATAATTTTTTAAGGTAAACTAAGATTTTTAGTGGTAGGTTCCTGAACCTATAAATGCTGACTGCCCGGCTGTGACATCTAAAATAATTGCCAGTAAAAATGATCTGCTCTAAATAGCTAATAAATATATACATATATATGTGATTTTCCATTTTTCTAGTCAGCAGATGTATTCTTTTTAAATTCTTCAACTTCTTTATAATTATCTAAGTCATGAGATGTACCCAAAGCACTGAATGGGGTCTTTCAAGTGCCGTGGATTTCACCTTGAATCAGGGACGGGAGGAAGGACACCGAGGAGAGAATTTGCCATGACCTCATTCGGAGCCCCATCTCCTCATGGCCCTGAGCTTAGAAGTTGCACAATTCTTTCTGAAGAAAAGCCTGTTTTTAACCTGCTTCAGGACCACATAGTGTGATTTTTCCATCATATGTAAAATGAGAGCAGTGTTACCAGGCTTGCTGAGACTTTAGAGTAAGGTCTCTTCTGTGAAATTGTTTGCGGAGTCTGTCCTCTGTCCCTCCGTAACTTTTCTGTTGCTCACCTCACTCTTCCCTCAGGCGAGTGTGAATCTAAGCTTTTGAGATCTTGAGGAAGCGTCTTCTTCCTTTTTCTTTACATACGAAGTGGCTTCTTTTTCTGTTTATATCCTCATGTGAACATTCTGGATGGTAAGAATGACAGATTATTGGCTCAGTCACAATTTGCCTTACACATAACCTCACTGCCAATTTTATTAAAAAAAGATGTCTTCCTTTATGGAAGAAATAAGCATATCTTGGTCGTGGTGAAAAAAAAAAAATTACACAAAAAACTGTTCCGTGAACCAAAATCTTCCATAAAGGCAAATACACCTGATTTCTATTGTGAGCCGCAGACAATGGGGCCTTATTTAACCTGCTTCTTGCCCTGTCTTCTCATGTTGTAATCATTATTTCAGGATGGTCTCTAACCTAATGAAAGAGAACCCTTTTGTGGCAAAATAATGGAAATTATGATGATGAAAATAATAATAATATCATCTTACAAGGATGCTTTCTATTCCATCTTCCAGGCTGAGCAGTGAGCCCGTAACAATGTAAAACAAGTAGATAATATTGCATACTTAAAGTGTTTGCACATTACTTCAAACTTGTCCAGCCTTCTCTTTGCAGTGACTCTGAATGAGGACAGTGAATAATCTGCTATGATCCCAGGGGAGAAGGGAGTGGGAAAAATGTAGAATTTTAATTCAGGTGATTTGGTCTTAAGCTTGTGCTTATTTAATGAAACTAGATTGGGAAACTTTTTTTTTAAAACCATGATATACAATTGCAGGAAGAAGACACTAATTAAATTTCTGTATTATTTAAACAATTTTGTGGAAAACACCAAATAACTAGCTTCTCTGTGATTAGGAGTAATGTGAGATGGGGTGAGTAATAATTAGTTATTTTGTAGTGTATCTATCATACTCAGAGGGTTAATTTGATTTCAAAAGAAAGATGATGTTAACATTCTTTAAAAGATTTCAGATTCCCTGGGGTAGCTTTTACTTTATAACCCTATTGTATACTTAATATGACTTTTATCATTGTGTCAGTGTGTTATCCTTTAGCAGACTGTGGTATTTAAGTAAACTTCTGTGATTCAGTTTCACAGTATGATTTAGGATCTTAATGCTAGTTCTCTTGGGTCTATGATGCAAGTTGAAACTAAAAATTTTATTCTCAAAGTTTTAAAAACAGCCTTGCCTGCTAAGGAGACAATCTTTTAAAAATGATAATAAAAATAAAAAATACATTTAAAAATATTATTCTGGTTTATATTGCATTAAAGAAAACATATTTGCTATTATAGATCTTGTAGCATTTGTGTTTTCATAGTTTTAGGTCCCACTTTGTTAGATACTTTAGGAATAGTGTCAGAGGATGTGCAGGATAAAAGAGGTGTTTTAGCTTTAGATGGCAGTCATTGTACATACATTGCAAATGACAGCATTTTTCATGTTGGATATGCTCTGAGAAGTTAATTTGCTGCTGCCACACATATGAATAATGTTAAAACTATTGTGTCATTGGCGATTTATATGACTTACTTATAAAATGAGATGGGATATTTTGGAAGACACGCCATACCGTATGGACTTGACTGATGCATTAGAATGACTAACAGAGGGTCTGTGAGAGTATATACTTTCTGCTTGAGGCTATAGAGCATGTCAGGTGTCAAGTACTTGGCTCTGGTGGGTGGTGTGTTTCTTTAAGGCACTAAAACCTTTAAGAGGTTTGAGAGTGATGATGTCATTAATTAATAACTGACCGCATGCTAATCGATACACGATAGGTATATACTGTAATGGCTTATAAGCATGATGGCTTTTTAATGGCTCATGTATAATTGTTAATTGATTTAAAACAAAGGGAAATTTCTGTCTATTGAGTCAATAGTTTATGGATTATGACTACCTTTTAGTTTGAGATTGCTAATGAATGCTCCTTCCTTGCCCTCACCTCCTGTCTTGTTCTTCTATGTTTTTAATCAGGGATGTCTGTAAACAAGATACATTAGACTGATTATTGGGACTAGAATCCAATAACACTTGTAAAGCCCCAAAGGCTTTTACAAGATTCCGCACTGGGGCTTCACAATATATGTCCTACAACATGAAATAGATATGAGTCTATTTAAAGTTCTGTGCTTACTTCTTTTATAATATATTTTACACAAAAGATGTATGTCATATAAATATGAGCCCCTTGTTACGTTATTAAAAATATTTATGTTTGGAATTTCTTAAAGTGTGTAGAGTTCAGAGATTTATTCTGGATGTGGTATCCGTCAGAATAAGTGACCTGAGACAAGGCTGTGATATTACTTCACTGTCTAAATTAAGAACCTAATAGACTTACCAAATGTGTATAATTGAGTTGCTTTTCTGTTCAGCAGAAACTGGCACAACATTGTAAATCAACTATACTTTGATTAAAAAAAAAAACTAAAAAAAGAATCTAACAGACTTAGAATAGACAATGTCAGAAACAAAAATTGATGGATGGGATTTTACCTGGAAGAGCTGTTGGCAAGCCCAAGAGCTGCTGAGAGGCGTTAGGAAGACTTAGGAACTGGTTACTATAGTACAGTTTTGTGTTTAATAGAAAAGAGGTGTGTGGTTCTTTATTTTTTCCAGATGGCAGTTATCGTTTCGTCTCCTCCTTCAACAGCCATTCGAGCATTTTTTTTTTTCTTTTTTATTGCTCCATTCTTGGAGGTCTGCTTTGGAATTGTTCCAGTTATCTTTTTTCATTTAGGCAAATTTTATATCAAAATACTGATTTTATATATACGGAAACTAGTGGTTTGGAATGTTATCCCTATCACCTTTTATATGAATGTGCACGAAGTTTAAAGAGCCAAATGGTATCATAGGAGGTATTGTGAAAAACAGCAGTCCTTTGCCCAAAACACTTCTGACTTCCTGCAGTTCTCACTCTGCAGAGAAACATTTTCAACTCTTCTGGCTGACATTTTCCCCCTGGTGTTTACCTCCATATTTAAAATAACTTAACTGATACTACAGACTCCTCATTTTTCAGTTTGAAATGTTATTTACTGATTTCTTTGTATGGAAGATAGGAATTTAACACCTTTACACCTTCTCGTCTCCATCAATACTTTTGCTGAAACCTTCTTAGAAAGTTTCAGTGTTTATACTTCTCTCGTTATTATTATTATTAATCCACATGCACACGTTATAGGAGGTGTAAATCTCCCCTTAGTTAAAAAAAAAAAACAAAAAAACAAAACAGACTTCAGATAATCTGCCCAAGAACAGTAGGGAAGGTGAGAACAGAAGTCTTTTTCCACAGGTGGCTCTGTGTGTGTGTATGCGGTTGGAGTAGGGGACTAATCTTAAGGGACAGACAGAAGTGAACTCTAGAAGGAGACTGAGAAGGAAAAGGCAGTGATGTAGGAGGAAAACAAGGAGAAAATGGAAATCAAAGGAAAGCATGTCGAGAAGTGGGAGGCCATAAACACATGGCATAATCAGAGTAAAGAGGAGCATTGAAAGGCATCCTCTGGTGGCTGCTAGAATGTTGAGATCCAAAGAGAAAGAAATGACTTCATAATAGTCACTTGAGGAACTTAGTTCTGAACTAAAGAGAGAGAAGGGAGTTGAAATAGCTAGATGCTAGTGAGAGAGAGAGAGAGGTAAAAATTTATTGTTGCTGTTTTTCTGCATGAAATCCTTTAGCATGTTTCTAGGGAGAGAGTGAAGGACAGGGAAGCCTGGTGAGCTGCAGTCCATGGGGTTGCAAAGAGTCAGACCTGACTTAGCAACTGATCAACAGCAAGGTGAAGGTGTAAATTGAAAAATCTGCGGGCAATCAGCAATCTTCCAATCATACTTCTTTGACAACAATAGTTTGATGCTAATATTTTCTTATATTGTACCTTAAAATGTTTAGGGGCTTCCTGGTGGCTCAGATGATAAAGCGTCTGCCTGCAATGTGGGAGACCTGGGTTTGATCCCTGGGTTGGGAAGATCCCCTGGAGAAGGAAATGGCAACCCACTCCAGTACTCTTGTCTGGAAGAGGCTACAGGCCATGGGGTTACAAACAGTCAGACACGACTGAGTGACTTCACTTTACAATGTTTAAATGGCTATTAAAAGAATTATCTTCATCTTCACACATTCACACACACACAGACACATGCTGGATGCTGGCAGTTGGCAGGAGATGTGTTCACTTTGCTGATTGGAGCCAAGACAGACAAACTCCTAGTACAGAGCCATCACTGCCATCCTGCAGCTGCCCCTTACAGCATCTTTTATCTTCCTCTGCCTCTTGAATGATCTTTGCTGTTAAGAATTTCCTCTACTCTTATTTTTTTGGCCAGACTTATCTGTCCGTCTGCCTGTGGATATCATTCTCTTCAAATCCACAGCTACATGGTATGTTGACTAACTTCATCATACCAGAAAGCTGCTGTTACTATTCAGATTGTACACAAATCCAGACATTTTGTAAGGAAACGAGATTCCCTCCAGCCTAGTAACATACGTTGAGGACATATTTTTATTTGACTGTCCCTAGAAGCACCATCATCATTAATACATGTGGTCCTAGAGCTGTACATCAGGGTAGATAACAAAACCACTTAATGTAATTGAAGTTTAACCTGGATGCTGACAGTATTTTAGTGTCAAACTACCAGCAAGTCTCACTAGGAATATATTTGCTTCTCATTTCACTTTTAAAAATGACTTTGGTCAACCAGAGTACACGGGAGGTTGGTTTATTTAATGGGTGGTGAAAGTCAGTAGTGATTTTCATTTTTACATTATCAGTGAAAATATTGATGCTTGGCTATGTATCAGTTTCCTGGATGCAGGATAATGCATTTCTCAATCATTCACTCATTCATTTTGTCAGTCTGCAAGAACTTCTTGAGAGTTTAGTATGTTTAAAGAACCATGCCAGGTGTATTCCTGTCTCAGGCTTAGAAGAGAAACAGAAGAGTGAACATATTATTAGAATATCATATGATAAGGATGGGATAGCTTCATCCTGAATAATGGGCTGTAGGATTCCTCTAGAATGCCTACACTTAGCCTGAATCTTGGTGGAGAAGCAGTTCAAAGGAAGCTTTCTGGAGAAAGTGGCACCTGAGCTTGGAGGATGAGTAAGTAAGCTGAGTGAGATGGGCAGAGAAGGAAGAGAAGGCTTTCAGGCAGAAGGAAGAGTATGTGAAAAGGCGTGGGTGCATGGGCAAGCCAGAAAAAGCCTAGTGCATCCTAAGAAGAGCAATCATGTAATAATGTCTGGAGTTAAGTGTGTGTGTGGAAGGTCTAACAAGTTGTAAGGCTGGGGAGGTGAAGAGAGTCCACATGCTCAGAGGCCTTGATTTCAAGGATTTGGATTTTAGGAGAGTAATGGGAATTCACAGAAGAGTTTTGAGTAAGAAAGTCATGTAATCCAGTCAGCCTTTTAGAAATAACAATCAGGAGAACAGACTAGAAGGACCTAATGCTAGGGCCATGAGGCCAGAAAGCCAGGTTGAGACATTCTGGTTTGAGCTAAGATTATAGCTGCGGCTGTGTATGAAGAAAGATGAGAGAGACATTAAGATAGTGTCACTGGTGCTTGCTGATGTGCTTCCATTTGGTGTCATAAGGGGGAGAGAGGGGTCCTGTGAGTGGTCACGCGGCCTTCTCAGTAATTTCTGGTGTGAATTCCTGGAACTAATGGTGCCGGGGTCTGCTCTGTGGTAATCTGAACAGCTGGTTGATGAACACTGAAGCATTCAAGAATTTCTGAATGACAGTATCTAGTGGGTTGAAGTTTCTTAAATTCAATATATACAACATTCCCAAATGACTGTAAGTTATTCAGTGGTATCTTTAGCCCTGCTGAGTATCTAAATTAAAAAAATCCCAGGCCTCCATCTATAACTATGACTAATGATGAACCATATGCAAAGCTAATGCGATTCTAAAATGAACTTTCTTGCTGTATTGTCTGAAGAAACACTACTTTGAATTCTCAAGGAGACTTCTCCCTGTGTTACAGAAAAGTATGTGAAGATGTGTTGATATAAATGTTAAGCATTTTCTTTCTTTTCCAGGTATGACATTTAGTCCTAGAAATATGAAAGTTTTCAAAGGTTTTGACAATGGGAATACTTCAGACTCACCAAAAAAGGCAAAGAGCTTCACTTTTTGGAATTTAATCAGTTGACCTTGGCATCCTGAAAATGGAACCAGACAGTTATATTTTGCTTTCCCAGGTGGCACAGTGGTGAAGAATCCACTTGCCAATATAGGAGACATGAGTTTGATCCCTGGGTCGGGAAGATCTGGAGGAGGGAATGGCAACCCACTCCAGTGTTCTTGCCTGGAGAATCCCATGGACAGAAGATCCCAGTGGGTTACAGTCCATGGGGTCTCAAAAGAGTCAGACATGACTGAGCACACATGCTTACACAGTTATATTTAAATTTTTGCATTTTTGAGAGTAGAAGGACTTTTACATTTTTAAGGGGGATAATATTATTATGTTTTTGTTTAGAAACAATAAATACTCATTGCAAACAATAGTGAAAATGGACATGTATAAAATGTAAAATCAAAAGTGCCATAATTCCATTGCTAGAAACAATGACTAAAGTTTAGGTTGCATCTTCTAGATAGACACACGCATATTTTTTAATGGTGTCAAATTATACATAGTTTCCCATAAGCTGCCTTTTCCAATTATCAATGTTATGGATATCTTTCCCTTGAAGATATATAGACAGTCAGCCTTTAATGATGTTTTAATTTTGTATATGTATAACTTATTCACCCAGTTCCTTATTAATTTTCCCCCCTAAATTTTCAGCTAACATTGTTGCCTTGGTTATCTTTGCATACATTTATGTATTTTTCCATTCATTATTTTGATAAATTTCTAAGTGGAACTTTTGGGTCAGAGGTTACATATGTTTTTAATTTTGATAAGTATTTTCAAATTAACACCTGAAATCGTACTGCCAACTTAGTATGAGAATACTTTTCTCCAGGTAATATGACCTATGTTGATGTAATCAACTTTTAATTTTTCTTTCTCTGTGAGATATGGGTAAAAAAGCTTATCCTTCTCTAATTTGAGTATCTTTTACTTTTAATGATGCTGTTTACCTTACATTTTTGTTCTTTTCCATATTCTCTCTTACAAATTACTTGTTAAAATTTTTTTTGCTAATTTTTTGTTATGTTATCATTTATTTATTGATTATGAAAAGTTCCTCATACATTGAAGTCAAGCTTTTCCTTACAATTTATGATTTGCAAGTTTGTTACGAGACACCTCCTCCTCCTCAAGATTGCAAGCAGAATAGTTTTAATGAAGAAAACTAGGGATAAAAGGTTTAGTAAAAAATTCATAAGCAGAGAGTTTATTAACAAAAAGTGTAAGAATGACAATTGGAAGGATCGTGAGATGGTCTCTGAAAAAAGGAGAAATTTGCCTAACTTCACCATAAAATGACAGTAAGGACTAAAGTATAGATGACATGAAAGTAGTGACCTCTGTCTTATTTACTGCTTTCTCCCCTGTAGCCGCATTTGGAACACAGAAATTGCTTGGTTTTATTTTTGGTATTAACGAAGGGATGCATACATCTAAGCATGGGTGAGTGAATACACGAAAACTCAAATTAGGAAAGATTAAAAATCAATATGATTTCTACAAATACTGAGAACCTAAAGGCCACAGCCATTCCAAAAGCAACTTTTACTGTCATGGTGAAAAGGGTAATTTAAGCTTTAAAGTCCTTTTGTTTATTGAGGTTTTTTCCTTGACTGAAGTTTCCTTAATTTTCCTAATGTTTGTGAGGACATTAAATTTGTGTCCCTTATAAACTGTAGTGTTTGCCTTGGTGTAATATAAATCCTAAAGAGGATTAGAGAATTTAAAAAGAATAAACACTACATTACAGAGTCAAGGAAAGACTGGGCTGACCATTAGAATATTCATAATTTAGTGATTTACACCTAAATGATTTAAAAAGGCACTTTAGAATCTTCTTCATTTGGGATTCTTGAGCAAGTTTCAAGGTCTGACAAAAATGTTAAATATATTGGAAAAAATGTAGGAGATAATTTAAAGAATTAACGTAAATTTAAAGAATTAAAAGGGAAGAGAATGAGCTAATGTTTTCATTTTAACCAATTATTTGATCATTTTTAAGATTACTATACATATACTTATGCCTAAATTCTGAGTTCCGACTTATGGAAAAATATAATAACCTCCCCTTTTTTGTAATTCAGATACTTTCTTAGATGCTTAAAATCAGCTTTTTATAAGCTATATTCTCTAACGGTTTTTTTCCGGAAAGAATGATCTTTTTTATTAGTATAATAGCTAATTTTAATTCTATGTGACACAAACCCCTTTATATGGTATTTTATATAGTAATGTTTATTTCCTACACAAACTCTCTAGGATGTTTTATCTGTTTTATATCCCATTGAATTCTCCCTGAAACTGCACTAGTTTACAATAATTTTATTACTTTATTAATTAA